TGTGTGTGTGTGTGTGTGTGTGTGTGTGTGTGTGGCATTGTGAGGAGGGCTGGGATGGTGTCACTGAGCTTCTGCCTCAAGGCCGCAACTTAAAAATGACATGTCCCAGCTCTGGTCTTTGACCTTGACTTGAATGAGATTGGTTGGAAAAAGACAATGCTTTCTCCATTCTGTTCACCAAGCTGGACCCTTCAGATTCCTGGTGGCTTTCTTTACTTGGAAGCCTTCTCACTTGGCTCCAATCTGTGGGGGCAAACTGCATGTGAGGACCGAGACTCCCTTTCCACGGGCAATGTTAGCGCGTTAGACTGACAGGCTGGCTTCATCCGGGTCGGCATGTGAAATCAGGGCTGCAGCCTGCAACTACTCCCATTCTATCAGCAGCCAGAAGGAAGGAAAACAAAGATAAGGGGGGGATGGAAACCAGGAGGGGACACAAGAGGAGGGAGGGGAGGGCTGAGAAAAGACAGGAGACAAGGGAACAAAGACCAGAGGTGAAGGGTGAAGGGGGTGGGGAAAGGCAAGAGGGACATGAGGGACCAGGTGTCCAGAGAGAAAGGGCAGGGCCATATAGAGGAGCTGTGGTGCAGGAGAAAGGGTGGACCAGGGGGTGGGGGAAAGGGGAAGACAAGGCAGCTGCAGTGGAGCTTTCAAGTCTGTGCTAAAGCCGGGAAACTGCACAGGCAGGGGAAGCAGGCTGTGCCAGGCAAACAGGAAAACAGAGGGAGAGGAAGTCTAGTCATTAGAGAGAACCTGACCAAGGGCCTGAAAGGAGGGGAAGACCGCTGCCATGCGGACATTGCAGAAAAGCAAGGCAGGAGACAGTGGCCAGGAAGCTTTGAAGCAGGAGGGTGGAAGCAAGGGAGGCAGAGAGCAGAGCAGCCAGGACGTGGGAGAAGCGAAACCCAGCACAAGTGAGAGTGAGGGAACAGGGAAGGAACCATTAAAAGAATGCTTACCTTATAGTCATAAAACCGGGAATGTGTGTGTTTTGGCCTGTGGCCATTGTCCAGGAAACACAGTGTGGCTTTTAAGCAAATTGCGGAGTGGTTGGTCCATACACAGGTTGCTTGCCCTGGTCTGCTGCTTTGAAATGCAGCTGCTCTGAGCTGCCCACTTGGTGGCTGGCAGCTTGCTATGGGGGACATCAGATGGAACCTGCTGTCTGTACCGAGGGACATTCCTGCTCGATTTATGGTGCTCTAAGTTCAGAGGCACCAGCTACTCTTCCGGGGCAATTGCTTCCCTTTGGGGGCTAAGAGTTGAGGTGTGTATCATGCAGGTGACCTGCTTGCCATCTCCAGAATCAATGGTTCCTTTGAGGATGTTTCTTGGTGGGACTGGCTGTGGGAGGCCAGGGGGAGGACGTGTTGAAGACAATGCTGGATGGATGTTAAGGGAAGGCCTTGGCAGTCTGGCAGCCATAATTTGGTTTCTAGTTTTTACCATTTTATTGTGTAAACTAGGAACCTCAGCTACTCATCTGTACAATTGGGCTCATGGTCATAGTGATCTCATAGGGCTCTGATGGCACCTAAAGGAGATGATCCATGCAGCTAGCAGAGTGGCTAGCTCATAATAATGTTCACTAAATGCTAGCTGTTCTTTGTATTATTATTCAAGATCAGAAAACCCTGCGTGTGTGTGTGTGTGTGTGTGTATGTTTTGGGGTATCAGTCCTTGAATGCAGAATAAGGGGCTTAGCTTTGAAGGTATTTTAGCGAGGGTCTGTGAAGATAGATCTAGCAGCGACATGTGTGCTGCTTTGAAGAGTAGTGGAGGCCATTTTAGTGACCAAAGCATGCCTGAGATAGTAAGAAACTGGACTAGGGATTGGGGGAGCTGAAAAAAATGTAAATGTAAATTTTAAGAAGCAGCCCCAAACTAAAGATCTTTATGATGAACAGGAGGTGGGAAAGGGACATTTTAAATATGACTCCGAGGTTTGTGGGCCTAGAACAAGGTCAGAGGGAGCTCTCAAGCTAAGAATGATTTTTTATGTTTTTAAAAGATTGTAAAAAACAAAAATGAAAACAAAGAAGGACATGTGACAAAGACCATATGCAGTCTGCAAAGCCCAAAATATTTACTATGTAACCCTTTATAGAGTTACCCCCACTTCTGGCCTGGCCTAGGGTATCAGAAGAAGACTCTGCTCCCAAATTGGGAAGCCTGGAAGGGTTTTAGTCAGAATGCAATGTCCCCAGAAAATTAGAGCATTGGAACTAAAGCAGGAGTGAGGTTGTGTGAATAATATAATGATTTAAGAATTACATATTCATTCCATAAATATTTTTTGAATGTGGGCTCAGAAGACAGACAGATGGTTGAGTCCCAGCTCTATCTTCCTACCTGTGACCCTTACTAGGTTTTCAACCTCTGTGTGTCTCAGTTTCCCCATTTGTGAAATAGAGATGATAACTCTGCTTACCTCCCAGAATTGTTTTTGGAGGATCATGTGTTATAAGACTTGTAAAGCATTTAAACAGTGTCTGGCGCACCACCTGCAAGAAACACCGGCTTTTGCTGTTGCTGAGAACATAGAGGCCCAGAAATGGAAATGAACATGGCGTAGGCTAAGCAACAGTAAAATGGTGGATTGGTTTGGTAAATAAGCGATTTGGCAAATAAAATTTGGTCAATAAACAAATATCATTTTTAATTATTACCATCAATATTATGACTCTAAGGCTATCATTGGAACTTGGGGTCTGATCTTGGGACCCCGGTGTTCTCTGTAAAGCATGAGGTTTGCTAAGATCCCTTCTAACTCTTTTTTATTTTTTGTCAGTTGCTACCTCCTTCCTCATTTCCCTTCCTCCCTACCCTTTATGTGGAACATGCTTAATTCTCTTTGACATTTCTGACAGCAGGGTCATTTCTTCCCCATCCTCTTTAAAAATCCTGATCATGTAAGAACTGATTCTATTTTTCCCTTCACCATTCCCAGTGATCTCTCTTCTTTTTGCAGCCCCTCCCCCTCCAGGCGCTTCCAACAAAAGAGTCAGGTCATTTTTCATGCGGTATCAGCCGAGTGTCAGCCTCCAAAGCGTTTGTCCTTGTTTCTCTCAGTGTCGGAAGTTCTCAGTCTTCCCACTAGGACTTTCTGAGAGCATGGAGTGGATCCCAGAATTTCTAATCCTTCCTGCTGCAACTGAGCCTCTTCCCACACTTTGTTTGAGAAAAAATGATCGGGGGACAAAAAAAAAGGCCAGTGGAGGAGCAAGGCATGCAGCCCTGGCCCTCTCAGGCTGGGGTCTGTGCTGGGGGACACGCTGCACCCTGCCTGTTAAGGCTGCCTTGAGAGGCCAGTCAGGGGAGAAAGATTAGGGTCATCAAGATAAGGCAGAGAATATTCAAACTGGAAGCAAAAAGGGGCTGTTTTTCCAATAGTAAGTAATCAAGGAACAGGAGGATGTAATTTGCAGATTAGGAAAGTGAACAAAGAACATAAAATTAACTTTATAGCAAAGAGGAGCACAGTCTGTTTGAAGAAATAAACCTCCATAAAGCATTATTGTTGATAAAATCAGACTGTTGATTTAAACTAAATAGGAAATATGACCAAATCAGAGAGAGGATGGGGGCTCAGTGAAAGTGGAAGTTGAAACTTGAGGCAGAGATGAAGGACTGGGGTAGAGAGGTGTGATGGGTGTACCCGCGCTGGGGGAAACATGTAGGGCCAAAGCAAGGATGTCTGTGCTAAGGGCTTCGATAGGAGGAACGTGCCTTACTGGGATGCCAAAGCTGCCTTCACTTAGGGACTGTCTTTATTTGAAAAGTGGCATTGATTTCCAAGAACTGGTAAATAGTAAATATGTTCTTGTACACATGTAGTTCCCCCACCCCCTGCTCCTGTTTTTAATTCTCAAATACCCACAAAAGCTCATCTGAAACACCAGCAACTCCCTGCTCCGTCACTACTAGTGACCTTTGTACCAAAGCAGAAGAGTCCCAAAGCAATGCCTTTGATCCTGAGGTGATTAGAATAGGGCTTCTGTCCCCTTTTATCAGAGACAAGTTGACTGGACTAGGAGAATACTCCTGCAGCGGGTAGTGAGAAATCCAGCTCTGTGCTGGGAGCTGCCCTTTATCCTACCATGCCAAGCCCTACATTGCCTAGCATGGGAAAATGATTATTGCTTTTGCTGTCTTTGACCTGCTGATGCAGGACTCTTCAGGTTCAGAGAAGCATTCCTATTTAGTAGTATAGTCAGAAGTCTCCATTTCCCTCTCCCGGTCCGTTTTTCTCCCTTTTCTATCTTGCTCTGAGCCTTGGAAACTGCATTTTGGAAACCCCTCACCTTCTGATTTTCTGTAGAGGACAGCTTATGGAAGGCCCCAGTAGGACACAAGTAGGCTAGAAGAGAGAGGGCAGAGGCTTGTGGCCTAGATTCCCTCCCTGCCAGGCTGAAGGCTGGCAGTGCCTTTCTCTACCAACCAAAGGTCAGAGTGAGTTTAGGGTCCTGGCTTTGTCCCTTCAGGCACAGGGGTGTTCACGGTCCCCTTATCACCACTACGCTTGGATTGCTTCACCAGCTTTGTTGGCTTCTGTTAAATGTGCCTTTGCATTTAACAGTCCCTTTGTTAAGCTCTTTCCTAATGCCCCCCTTTGAGTGTGCCATTCTTGTAGGACCTTGGAGGATACAAATAATGAGAGCTCCTATTTGGAAATCAGAGGGCCTGCACTACAGCTGAGACCCTATTACAAGTTGACCATGTATGTGACATGGGCAAATTGCATCTTCTTCTTGGCCATAGTTTCTTCATCTGTGAAATGGAGAAGATGGTGAAATCATCTTTCAATGAAAACATGCTATAATTCTGTTTTCAATAGGGGTGTAGTGGGCAGGGTTTGGAGAAAAATAAGCACACGTTTGAATCCTGGTTTTTATAGTTTTTAAATGTGTGGCCTTGGCCAAGTCTCTTGATCTCTTTGAATCTTGGTTTGCATCTTCAGTAAAACATGAAAGGTATCCCTTTCCTTGCATGTTGTGGGAGTGCCCACTTTGGCAGCACATATACTAAAATTGGAATGATACAGAGGAAATTAGCATGGACCCCATGCAAGGATGACATGCAAGTTAAGGGGGGAAGATTAAATAAAATTGCATGTTTGAAAGCAGCTAGAACAGCTCTCATTACACAGGAGGCATCCAATCCATGTTAGAACCTTTCTCTTTTCTTGGCTTTCTTGAAAGGAAAATGCCTAAGCACAAGGGGAACGAAGTTTGTTGGCTCTGGAGGTTTCCATTCTTTCCACCTCTAATTCTGTTTATTTATATTTGCTTACGTCTTACCTCACAGACTCCAATTCATTTATCCCTTCCAATCTGTCTGGTCCTTGAAGATTTCTCCCTGGAGCCATTCCTTCAAAAAGAGGGCAGATCTGTGGTTAGCTACAGGGAGGAAACCAGAAGGAGCAGGCCCCAGGTACTATGCCACTTGACTACGTAGTAGTGTTCTGACGAGGAAAAGGATTTCTTTCACAGCTCAGAGCTCTCTGGGATAGCTGACACATTTCAGGGACTTTATCTTTCTTCTTTATCCAGAAGTCACCTTCATAACTGAAGGATGAGGCCTCTAATTTTTCATGGTAATCATTTATAACTAGATTATAGGCCAAAAAGAGCTCTTACTCAATCCAATCCATAGTCCTGTTCACCCCCAAACTTGCCATAAGTGATCTTGTAGACTTTTTAGAAAAGTATATAGAGTGGAACTCTTGAAAGTTTTGCTTATAGTTTCAGTACTTAAGTGTATGACCTGCCACAGATAGGGCTAGATGGACAAAGCTGTGAGTGAAAGAATTTTTATTAGTAGCTTCTTTACTCTCAGTGTCCTCTTTTTTCATTTTAGCATCTCAGTTTCCAAGTACTCAACATCTGTAACTGCCTGTGGTTGTCCAGAGACTCCTTGCAGTCGAATAGACCCTTATACTTCTATCCCTATTGAATATATAACTTATATGTCTTATGTCTGTCAGTACCCACTGAATGTTCTCAAATGTATGATAACTTGATCTGTTCTTCTATCTATCCATCCGTCTACCTACCCACCTTACTAGTCAATTGGCATATACTGATTGGAGATGCACAAAATGTGGTGGGAGGCTTTGTTGACTAATTTTTAAAAAGTGTGAGTCACAGTTCCAAACCTAAGAAATATAGAGTATATTTGCGGGCCCAAAACAAGCAAAAAAGATAAAAAGTTCTCTCACAATATCAGTGCAAGCAAGAGCTAAGTGTCTAAGAGTGATAATAGACATTTTTTGAGGTTCAAAAAAAAAAGAAGAAGCACAACAGAGCAGAATATAAGGACTGACTTTATAGAAGATAAAAGATATGGAAGATGAGAATAGAGCCAGATCTTGAAGGATGAGTAGAGTTTATGTGAGTAGAAAGAAAGAGGAAAGCTACAAAAGAAGGCATGGGGACAGGGAAAATGAGAAAAGCTAGGCGATAGAATTCTAAAAGTAGACCTATTTGGCTGGAGTAGAGCAAGCATTTGAGAAAGTAAATGTGGTAAGATTGGAAAGGTTGATTGAGACAGGTTTCTGGAAAAGAGGCTGGAATGTGAAGCTGGGGAGCATAAGCATTTCCTACAGGTAATAAAGAGCTCCAAAACATTTTTCTAGCCAGGGGGAGGTATCTAGTAGAAGTCTGCAGATTGACTTTGAGTATGGAGTGTTTGCATTATCTCTTGACTCACTGATTCACTGATTTCATGCAACACGAGTTTAATGAGCTCTCCTAAGTGCTTAATTCAATGATCATAGCTGGACCCTAGTTATAATGTCCTCATTCCTTCAGAAATCTAAAGAGGCCTTGCTTTGGGGAGAGGTTCTTAATTCATCATGATCAAATAGTTAACCCAGAGAGAAAGACTACAAATAATCACTACAGTTAATTCCTTTCTTTAAAAAAATATTTTTATTGTAAAATTAAACACAGACACAGAAAACGAAACCAAACAAATGTGTGGCTTAGTGAATTATTATACAGTGAACACCCTTATAACTACTACCAAAATCAAGAAATAGAATTGCCAGCCACCCCTATAACCCTTCCACATGCCTCATCCTAATACAACCCCTTTCTACTTCTTGAAGTAATCACCATTGTGGCTATTATAAAATAGTCACTTCTTTGCATTTATTTATGGTTTTGTCATTCAACTGTGCATCCCTAAGCCCTATAGTTTAGTTTTGCCCATATGTTTTTTTAACTTGATATGCCTTTTAGGTGTCTTTTAATCAATGGTTTCCTCCCTTCACCTCTTTCTTTTCTTTATAGTTTATCTGGTGACCAATTTGGGTCAGTTGGCCTGTCAAGTTTCCTACAGTCAGATTTGCTGACTGCTCAGTCATGGTACAGTTCAATGTGTTCCTCTATTTTCTGTATTTCCTGCAAATCAGGAGCTGAATCTAGAGGCTTGACCTGACACAGGTCTGATCCCTTTAACAAGATTAAGTTGGCATTGTGTCCTGTGTCTGGTTTATGTTTTTTTTAATGTTAGTTGAAGCAGATGCGCAGTGGCTACATCCATTAATTCACGAGGAGCTAAAAAATAATAGTATTTTAATTCTATACTTCCTTTTAATTATCACCTAGGATAATTTTATAAAGAGACACCCCTCATCTACTATTTTGTTACTCACTACTACAATTCATGTAGGATAGGTAGGATAAGATTTGATTATTTCCTTTTTTACCCAGTTTTCAAGATGACAATCGGATCACTGTTTCCTCAGAAAGTGACCAATTATTATTTTAAAAATATATACCATAAGCTCTTGAATTTATTTATTTTTATATTTGATGAGTTTCAATCTATAATAAAACTCAAATCTTTGGCCAGTGGAAAACTCTTCAAGGTGCTTCCTGAGTTCTTCTGACATGACCCTAGTAGTTTTTGACAGCTTCCTTCTAACTGCACGTCAAGATGTACCAAACTCATCATAAACATTTCCTGCCTCAGAGCTGGAATTAGCCATTTCTCCAAGAAATCCTAGTTTAGTTCAATGGGATATGTCATTTGAAGATCAAATCTGAATGCTATTGGATTGACTTTTGTTTTTAAGTTCTTTTAATGGAAAGAACCAGAATAAATAAATACCTCATGAGTTCATACTGATTTTTATAATTCACATTCATATCTATAGAGTGTTTACTTAACATCTTCTATTGGTGAAGTAGTTCCTTTCTTTCACCAGAAAATCCTTTAAGGCATGTGGGATGGTAGGATTAGAATATCCCATAATTAGCATTTCTTTTTATGTACTTTACATATACAACATTCTCAGATAGTAGTACTCATACTATGACTAACATTATTGTTACTGAAAGCATATAAATTTTTTTTTGCATATGCTGATCATCTCCCCATTTTTTATAGTTTTGGTATATTTACACTTTGAATCATATACTAGAATCTCTACCTTTTAACCCTCATTTATTCTTTTATCTACAAGTAACTATATATCTAATATTCACCAGCAATACCTGTCTGAAACTTGTTCTTTAGTAGACTCCTTAGAAAGGGCTTATGGGAATAATATTCTCTGAGTCTTTACATGTTATTAGCAGTTTGTGAATTCCTGGATAGAAAAAATCCTTAGTTCACATCTTCTCTCTTTGAATATCTTAAATACATTACTCTAATTTCTTCTGGCAAAAAGCTTTGCTGTCAAAAAAAAATTCTGAGGATAATTTAATTTGATTTCCTTGTAAGTTATATGCTCCTTTTTGCCTAGATATCTATTTTTTCCCTTTTTCTTTAAAATACAATATTTTTTTCTGGAATATGTCTTGGTTTTGGTCATTCTGGGTCGATATTCTCAGGTACATGGTTTGTTTTTTGAACATATAATTCAAATCATTTTTTATATTAGGAAATTTTTATAGAATTATAGTTTTTGGTATTTTCTTTGTTCTCTTGAGATTCTTCTGTTCCCTTGGTTACTTCTTCAGAGTCCCCTAATAGTTGTATATTGGATCCTCTTTGCCTATCTTCCGGTTAACTTTTTTAATGTAAATTTTAATTGTTTGGATTTCATCATAATTCATAAAAGCTCTAGGCAAGTATGCCTATTTCTAAACCAATTTATGATTTGGGGATAATGACTGACAATGGCCTTTTATATTCTTTGTATTGGGGGGCACTGGAGAAACTAACCTGTAATTCCCAACGAACAGTGTGTAGGCCGATAGAAAAGACAGTTTGGTGTCCTGAGACTTTCATTGTTACTCAGATCATACAGTTTAAAAATCTGTGATTGGTACTGGAGGTGAGAACCTCTGACCTTTATGGAATTAGAAATCCTTTCTTTGCTTTTGCCAATTACTAAAGCCTATTAGGTACAGAAAACCTCACTTCCAACAAGCATATAAATTTAAGAAGATTTCATTTATTTGTTTCACTGTAGAACCTAAAATAGCAATGATGAGAATGGCTCTCCCATCAGGGGGAATAATATGAGCAAATGCATGGAAGCCAGTCTAAGCAAAAATGGTTTATGGCTTAATAGGATAATTTTTAATGGAGAAGGGATAAAATAATCATCTCCAACATTCTGTGTTCTATGTGGTTCAAAGAATAATCACTCCTTATTCTAGTGTGAAGTTGCTGATCCACATGATCTGGACTTTTGCTTCTGAATTACAAATTCAGTGGCTTAAACAATACAGATTTATTATCTTATAGTTCTGGAGGGCAGAAGTCCAAAGTGCATTAAAATCAAGTATTGGCAGGGTTCCTTCTGTGGCTCTGGTTGTGGAATTTGCTCCCCTGCTCTTTTCAGCTTCAGGTGGCCCTCAGTATTTCTTTGCCAGTGGCCCTTTCTTTCCATCATCAAACTATATCACTCCAGTCTCTGCCTCATCACATCACTATATCACTTTCTCTCTGCAACCAAAACTTCCTTTGCATTCTTCTTGTAAGGATACTCATGATTACATACAGGTCCACCTAGATAATCCAGGATATTTTCCCTATCTCAAAATCTTTCACTTAATCACATCTGCAAAGTCACTTTTGCCATATAAGGTAAGATTCATAGGTTTGGGGGATTTGGACATGGGTATCTTTGGGCAGCCACTATTTAGCC